TTGATAGTTGATGTGTTAGCATATGTACACACCTTTAAAACCATCAACATAGTGATGATGAACACAACCCAGAAGATTCTCCTTGTCCCTTCACAATTCCTCTCGGTTCTTTCTAACCTTCCTCACTTTAGTTCACAAGCATATCACAGAGTTCCTTTATGTCCTCATTCTTTTCTTAGTTCTCTTTAAAGGAGGCCATACAGTACATAAATTCAAACTGACTGCATCGTGCAATTTTAATTCCTAGCCACTCTGTGTGTTCTCAAGACCATAATTCTCCGCAGGAGCAGAAAGCCTCCTCTTTGTCCCGCAGACCGCTGGTGGGTTTGAACTGCTGACCTTGTGGTTAGCAGTCCAGTGCTTATTAATGGTGATGGGGCCAGGGGACTAGTTTGGGATTTGTACATGTTGTTGCATGTATCAATAGTTCCTTTTTTATTGCTGAGTTTAGATACACCCATTTTTTCTTTGAATCTGTTCAGCTGTTAACGGACATTTAGGTGATTTCCAGTTTGGGGCTATCATGGATAAAGCTGTTGTGAAGAATTGTGTGCAGGCTCTTAGACGGATGTGTGTGTATTTATCTTGGGTAAACACCCTAGGGATGGCATGGTGAGGTCATAGGATTGAGGAATATGTCATTTTCTTTTAAAGAACCTGCCACAAATTGTGTTCCAAAGTGATTGTAACAATTTAATTCACAGAAGTAGGGTATGAGTTTTCCAGTTGCTTCACAACCTCGCAACACGTGGTGGTATTCAGTCTGTTTCATTATAGTAATTTCATTTTATATTCTAGATTATAAAAAGCAGACAATTTCTGTCAAATCTGCTCTGATTCTTTGGTGACCACGTCGAGTATCTCCGTATGGTTTTCATTGGCTGAGGTTTTGGAAGTGGGTTGCTTCGCCTTTTCTCGGAGCCACCCCTGGGTGGGGTCCCCTGTCACCTTTTCACTTAGCAGCATATGAAAAGTGTGCACCACCTAGAGTGAGTGCAAAAACTGTGGGGCCCATGTCTGACTTCCTCTGCTTCACCAGGGGGAAAGCGAAACTCCAAATCAGCCCCAGGCTGAGAGTCCTGTGACGTGGCAGTGAGACATGCCTCCACCCTCCACCCTTCTCTACCCTGTTCTAACACCGACCACCCCTCCCATAGTCCTCCCTGCTTTACATCTGGGTTCAGCAAGCCATTGCAGTGGTCACACAGGATTCACAGCAATGTTCAAGATTATGGGATTTATTTCAAGATCAGAAAACAACTGAGTAGACAGCAGTTTTCCAGTCACCAACGACTGACTCGGCCATGCTGCAGACGCGCCTCACTCTTCAGCTGTGTGGCCGCTTGGCGTTGGTCCTGCTCAGTCAAATGTTACAGAGTACTTTAGCCTGTCTGTGAATGCCCAGAGGGCACATTGTGCAAACCAGCCTCCTGCCTGTGTGTACTCGGCTTCTCTCGGTCCACGGGCCTCGAGCCCCTAGCTGCTCTGTCTCTCCATGCCCCCACCTCTGCTGTCGTAGCTTTTCTAGGTAGGGATCTCACACTCCACTCATGTTCTTCCTTCTTGATGGTCCTAGGATTGTCAGTTTCTGCTTCTGCGATGGCTCCTTTAAACCTAGCTGAGTGGCGCAAATAACCAATCCCAGCCTTACAGTCCTATACACCTTATTTGCATGGTCCCACCCAATCACTTGCTGTGGGCTCATGCGTCAGACTGCAAAGTCATTTGAACTGCAAGGTCGGTGGTTCAAGCTCACCAGCTGTTCCTTGGAAACCTTATACAGGGTCACTATGGGTCAGAATCAACTCGACGGCACTTAACAACAACAACAACAAACCCAATCACTTGGGGATTAAGAAGACTGGATAGAAAAGCTATAGCAAGTAAATTCAAGGTACCACAGGTCCAAAGACCTGTTTATTATATGAAAATTGGCCTTGTGTGAAAACAGAGAATTACTGTGCAGAATCACAAAGTGGACAATGACTCCAGCCGTCCGAAACTGCCAAGTTACGTTTTAGATAAACGACAAGCCACCCAGAATCATGGTCTGGTCAAGTTGACACGTGGGCTTAACCAACACAGGCTGGATCCCTCTTGCCATCTCTGGATCCCTCTTGTTACTGCCAGACTTAGGTCATTAAAGTACAAAATCACCAGTTAGTAGGTTTTTCACTGTTGCCATAAATGCAAAATGTCGGATGACAAGGCAGTCCCGGAGTGAGGAGGAGTGAGTATATAATAAAGTATATAACTGGTTGAATCATAGCAACCTTATATGTTACTGAGCAGAATTTCATAGGGATTTCTTGTCAGATGGAGTCCTGGTATGATGCTATGGGATAAGCATTGGACCGCAAGGTTTGGTTTGAACCCCAAGATCCATGGTTCAAACTCACCAAGCACTGGGAAACCCTATACAGAGTCACTATGAGCCGGAGCTGACCTGACAGTACTTACCAACCACCCTTGCAGAAGCAGCGCTCCAGGCCCGCCTTTCTGGTGCTACTGGGTGATTTAGAACTGCCAACCATTGGGTTGGTTGGTTGTTAGCTGCAGTTGGGTCAGTTTTGACTCATAGTGACCCTGTGCACAACAGAACAAAACACAATCGGCTCTCCTCATGAATGTTACATTTGAGCTCACTGCTGCCACTGTGCCACTCCATCTTGCTGGAGTTCTTTCTCTTTGTCACTGACTGTCCACTTTACCTAGCATAATGCCCTCCAGAGACTGGTCCCTCCTGATGACATGCCCAAAGTATGAGACAAAGTCTCTCCACCCTGGCCTCTAAGGAGCATTCTGGTTGTACTTCTAACACCTGTTTGTCCTGGCAGTTCGTGGTACTTTAAATATTCTTCAGCACCATAACTCAAGTGCATCGGTTCTAGGGTCTTCCTTACTCATTGTCCCACTTTCATACCCATATGAAGTTACTGAAAATACCAGAGGTCAGGCACACCTTCATCCTCAAACTGATACTTTTGCAAATCAATGTTGCAAGGTATCACGGAATGGACTTCAACTCACGGAGACCCCATATGACAGAATAGAATGGTCTCATAGGGATTTTCTAGGCTGTGATCTTAATGGAGGAGTCATGGTATGGTGCTGTAGGATTGCTAACCGCAGGGTCGGCAGTTCAAATCCACCAGCTCCTTCTTGGAAGCTGAGTCGGAACCGACTCCATGACGGGAGCCATCTTTATGGAAGCAGATGGTCAGGTCTTTCTCCCATGACGCTGTGAGGTTATCAGCTGAGTGCTTCACTGTTTGCACTACTTGTTAAAGTGCTGTAGACTTGTAGTTCGTCCAGCGGATGCCATCTGTCTCACGCATGCCCTCCTATGAGGACTTTCTAGGTCTGTGGCTTCTGTAACCAGGTTCTTTCCTCTTCCTTACAAGATTCTCACCAAAGATTCTTTGTGTAACACTTTTCTTTCTTGACATTGTTTTTGGGTGGGTTGCCTTGGGTCAGTGCTGGCCAATCTTCCTGATCCCATGTTGTTGTGCAACTCAAGCTGTCGGGGAGAACCATGGGTACGTGCCAGACTGAGTAGGCCTGGCCCTGGTGACTGGCATTGGGAGGAAGTGATGTCATGACAAAGTTCAGATCACATACGGAACATGTCCTAGGCCCAACCCTATTTTGCTGCTAAGAGCAGTAGCCATACCCTATTTTTCTCTTCCTTCCCCACTCTTGAAACCTTTCCCCTGTCATTGCTATTCTGACTTTCACGCTGGACTGCCCCTCCACCCCTCTCTGTCCACCTCTCCTCAGTCCTCTTCACTCTTCCCGCTCCTGTGCTTCCTCATACTGGCTTACACTTAACGTGCTATGAGGTGTACGTATACTTTTAAAATAGCCCCTTAACACCAGCTACTCAGTAACAAGAGGGTTTTCCTGGGCCTCAAAACACCTTGTTACGTGGTGGTCATTGGTCACCAGCAGTCAAGATCCTGGTGAAAACTGTTTGCAGCAAAGTGAGTTTTGGGCCCTGCCTCTCCCTGTATTGCTCACCCTCCTGGTATCCTTTGCCAGTTGAGCCAGTCTGTTCTGCAAACTTCAGAGGCCCTGTTCTACATAACGACCCTCTATTTAACCTGATCCCAGTTGCTTCACCCTAAAAATGTCATGGGCTCATTTCTGTGTCCAGTGTCCTTTCATGATGGAGCTGCTCCCTCCCACCAAAGTCCACGTAAAGCTCACCAGCAGTTCTCTGCTTTCTGGTTGTTGGTGGGGAGTGAGGGAGCACCTTCTGAGCAGAGTGTTTCTTTACAGGGAGTGTTACAGATGAGAACCTCCAAGGTGGCTCTGCCCCTTCCTGTGAGATGTGTGGCATGGTGTCAGAGGTGATTATTTGCTTGCACGCCTGGGAGCACACCCTGGGGCATATGGGAAATTTCCTAAGTACCAGAAGCAGCCCGGTGGAGATTAACCTTTCACAGGGCATATGGACGAGGCTGCCTTTGTGGAGAGCCGTGGAGTCCACTTAAAAAAGAAGCCCTTCCCCTGCTGAGATGTTGAGAAGGACTTCTAGGGTAGCTGGGGTCTTCTCCAGCAGCAGGCCAGTCACAGCAAGGGGAAACCACAAAAGGACAGTGAGTGTGTGGAGGTCTTTCACAGTAAAAGTCACTACAAGTGTCGTGAATGTGGGAAAGCCTTCAGCAACAAACCTGCTCTTGTTTGGCACCAGCGAATCCACACTGGAGAAAGGCCTTATGGGAAAATCCTTATCCAAAAGCTCCAGTCTTATTGAACACCAGAGAGTTTACACTGGAACAAGGTCTTATGAACGCAGCGAATGTGGGAAGATCTTTAACCAAAACCACAGCCTCATTAAACATCAGAACTCACAAGGTGAAAAGGCTATGAACGTAATGAAGGTGGGAAATGCTTTAGCCCAAGCTCTAGCCTCGTTCACACCAGAGTTCACACCGGAACAAGGCCTTATACGTGCATGGAATGTGGTAAAGTGTGTAGCCAAAGCTCCGGCCTCACTGAACATCAGAGAGTTCGCAACGCAGAAAGACTATATGGGTGCAGTACATACAGGGTATTCTTTAGCCAAAACACCCAACTTACTGGGCATCTGATGAAGGCCTCATCACTTGCAGCTAGTGTGGGCAAGTCTTTAGTGAATGGTGTGTTCTGATTCAGTGTTAGAAATTTCACAAACCAGATAGATTTTCTGAGAGCAGTGATGTGGGAAAACATCACCTTCAGCTAAAGATCTACCCTCATTTGACACCAAGGCATTCGCATTCGAGAACGGACTTAGGCTGAGATGGAGATAGCAGGGAATGAGCCATCTGACTCTGAAGTAACACCACCTGTGAGAGCCTTTGTGCGGGCGCCAACAATGTGATGCATCTGAGCATACATGCAGTGGCATTTCCCTGAGAATACTAGTTTTGTGGAAAGCTTTAAGGAGCTGTGTTGTACACTTTAGTTCTGTCACTGAGCTTCTGTGATTAAAAACCACCTCATCTCTTCTAACTTTCCGCTCCCCATCGTGTGGGTCCGTGACCCCACACATAATCAGGGAAGGTAGCCCTGTGTTCTCTCACCCTCTGGAGGGAATCATGAGTAGACCGCGATCTTCGGGGTTGTCATTCCTAACTGTCTGACTGCTTAGGACCTGCATGTCGCCCAGCTTTGGTTAGCAGGAAAGACTACAGTCTCGTGTGATGCTCAGGATGTGTTTCCTCAGCCTTCAAGTTGCACCATCTGTGAACTATCTGCCTCACCTCCTTTGGTTTGTGTGATAATACTAAGCACCTGATTGTTTGAGCCACCTTTAATCTTGGGAATCCTGTATTTGGGGTGGGAGTGAGAACAGAGTTTGCCAATATGAAGAGATGGACTGCTTTTTAGCACAAGCCAAACTTTGTGTTCCTCAGTGGGATCTGTGTAATGCCAGAGAAGAGTTTTCACTCTAGTTTTGGCCTAATTTACATTGCTGCCCCAAATCTTCTGTTAAAACTTCTTTTTAGATATAATGAACATGCAATAAACTACACATGTTTAAAGTGAACAGTTTGGTAAGTTTCAGCATATGCATAATCCCATGAGACTATTGTAATGCTAATGAGCCAGTCACCTCATATTTCTCTTGTGTTCTCTTCCTGTCCTACCTGGATTCTCAAGCAACCGTTGATTTACTGTCTCTCACACTGAGATTCGTTTGCTTTCACTGGAATTCTGTAATTTGTCTGATTTCTTTCATGTTGCATAATTATTCTGAGACTAATCCAAGTTGATGTGAACAGTTCATTCTTTTTATCACTAAGCAGTATTCTACTGCATACCATTATTTGTTTTATATACAACTGTTTGTGAATGAATGAGTGAGTTCCCCTCATCCAGGTATTTGGCTATCAAAAAGAAATTTGTTATAAACATGTGTACAGTTTTTTAATGTGAATTTATGTGTAATATCTTCTGTTGATACACCTAGGAGCACAGTGCCTACGTTGTAAGTTAGGGGAATGCGTAACTATTTAAGAAACTGGCAAACTGTTTTCTAAAGTGGTTGTACCTTTTTGCATTTACACTAACATTCTTCACATTCTCACCAGTACTTAGAATGGCCAGTTTCTTAAATACGAGCCATTCCAAAAATGTGTAATGGTATCGCACTGTAGTTTACATTTTCCTGACCATTCATGATGCTGGACATTTTTAATATGTCTCTTTGGCACTTGTATTTCTTCTTTGATGAATAACTTTTGCCTATTTAAAAAATGAATGTTAGTGGACGTGTTTTTCCCCTTTTAACATAAAACAAGAAGACAGTGCAACAAAAGGACATATTAGGACTTAATTCTTCAGTAACTTGAGTGACTTCTATTCCGAATGGAATAATTACTTTAGAGTATTGCAAGAATATTTCTTCAGTTTTGTGTGTGTGTGTGTGTGTGTTACTCACAATGTAATGGTGACATGCGCCAAGCACTTTAAAGTTTAATCTGTATTATCAACACATTCTCCATAATTTTCTTAACTCCAGACATTCAATAAAATAATCCTTTTTATTTTCCCTGGTGTACATACTCTCACCAGGGCCAATTTCATGCTGCCTACATGCTGGTACTGTACGTGGAGTTGGGAAAAGGTACGTAATAATAGTACATGTTCTCTTATCTTCCAGTACGTTCCACTGTATTCTGTTTCCACTGTCCTGATACAATGGTGATAAATAACTTTGACAATATTGTAGTTAAGGGTTACTGAGTCAGCTCCGACTCATAGTGACCCTGTATAGGGTTTCTGAGGAGCAGCTGGTAGGTTTGAAGTGCCGACCTACAGCATCATACCAGGACTCGTTGAGAACATAGGTAATATTATTAGGAAGCCCAGGTTGTAGAGGGAGTCCTAGTGTAGGTTAGCAGTTCAAATCCACCAGCTGCTCCTTGGAATTCCTATACAGGGTTGCTATAAGTCAGAACCGACTGGGACATTTAGCAACAACATAATCACCAGTGCGTTTATCTGGTTTTTGTTTATCTGTTTAGATAATAGTCCAAGCTGAAGTAGTTGTCCTAACTAGAACTTGTCAGATAGCAAAAGATAAGACTGAAAACATTTACACAGATAGTAGGTATGTTTCTGCAGTTTATAATTTTAGAATGTTTTAGGAACAGGTTTTCTTACCAATGGCTCTCATGGAATTGTTTAGGAATCAATCCTCTTCTCTTCCAAAGAAATCCGCTTGCTTCTTATGTGTTCCCTCATTCATAATTTCTGTACCTGTGAGCAGTAGGCTAAGTAACTGGACTGCTAATCGCAAGGTAGTTTGTTCAAACCCACTAACTGCTCCTTGGAAACCCTATACGGGATCTCTAGGAGTCAGAACTGACTAGACGATACTTAACAACAACAACAACAATCTTTTAAAAAGAATCAACATCACTGAGGAGGAGAGGATCTTTTAGTGGCTACTCTGAGGAACTTTGTTTATTATTTTAGTAATTTATTTGATACTAGTGTGGTTCTGTAGGACTAGCACTGGACTGTGAACCACAAGTTGGCAGTTCAAACCCACCAGCTGCTACTTGGAAACCCTATACAGGGTCGCTATGAGTCAGAACTGACTTGACGGCACTGAACAACAGCAAGAGCTCAATAACGTTTTGATTCCATGAGAATTAGAAATTCTGTTATACATATCCCCCCTTTTGGTCAGGAAGCAGCTGTTGATTTAAACAGTTAGTCACACATTTCATTTTCTCCCCCTGTTCCAGACTCTTCTTGCCTTGTTGCTTCAGGATGGATGGATCCCTGAAATTATTTCTGGAGGATAATCTTTAAACCTTATACCTGAAGTCTTTTTTGGGAGGTGGGGGGGGGGGTTGCACCTCAATGTAAAGAAAACAAAAATTCTCACCCCTGGATCAATAAACAACATCAAGATAAATGGAGAAAAGATTGAAGTTGTCAAAGACTTGTTTTTTTTTGGATTAACCATCTACACTCATGGAAGCAGCAGTCAAAAAATCAAACAATGTATTGCATTGGGCAAATCTGCTGCACAAGACCTCTTTGAAGTGTTCAAGAGCAAAGATGTCAGTTTGAGGAATAATGTATCCTGACCCCAGCCATGTTATTTTCAGTAGCCTCATATGCATGTGAAAATTGGACACTGAATAAGGAAGACTGTAGAAGAATTGATACCTTTGAGGTATGGTGTTGGAGGAGAATATTAAAAGTACTATGGGCCACCAAAAGCACAAACAAATCTCTATTGGAAGAAGTGCAGCCAGAATGCTCCAAAGATGACCAGACTTTGTCTCTCATACTTCAGACACATTAAGAGGAGGGACTGACCATCCCTGGAGAAGGACATCATGATTGGCAAAGTGGAGAGTCAGTACAAAAGAGGAATGGGTTGGCACAGTGGCAGCAGTGATTGTGAGGTTGGCGCCGGACCAGGCAGGGTTTCAATCTGTTGTGCATGAGGTCACTATGAGTTGGTACCAACTCGATGGCACCTAACGACGACAACTCAAGGCAGACCAGTAAGTACCACTATTATTCAAATTTAGGTACCAACCACGAAAGTTAGTGATGATGAAATTGAAGAATTCTACCAACTTCTTCAGGCTGAAATTGATCAAACATGCAATCGAGATGTATTGATAATTACTGATGATTGAGTGTAAAGGTTGAGAACAAAGAAGAAAGATCACTCATTGGAAAATGTGGCCTTGGTGATAGAAATGATGCTGGAGTTTGCATGATACAAGTTTGCAAGACCAATGACTTGTTCACTGAAAACACCTTTTATAAACAACATAAAAGACAACTACACACACGAACCTCACCAGATGGAATACACAGAAATCAAAATGCCTACATCTGTGGGAACAGATGGTGGAAAAGCTCCATATCATCAGTCAAAACAAGGCCAAGGGCAGACTGTGGAACAGACCATCAACTGCTCATGTGCAAATTCAGACTGAGCCTTAAGAAAATTAAGTCCACAAGAGCCGAAATATAACCTTGAACATATCCCATGTGAATTTGGAGATCAGCTCAAGAACAGATTTGATGCATTAGATACCAAGTACTGAAAACCAGAAGAGTTGTGGAATGACATCAAGAATATCATACAGAAAAAAAGCAAAAGGCCATTAAAAAGACTAGAAAAAAGAAAAACACCAAAATGGACGTCAGAAGAAACTCTTGAAACTTGCTATCCAGTGTTGTTGTTGTTAAGCACTGTGGAGTCGGTTCTAACTCATAGTGACCCTGTACAGGGTTTCTGAGGCTGTAAATCTTCACAGGAGCAGAAAGCCTCATCTTTCTTATGTGGAACGGCTGGTAGTTTCGAACTGCCAGCCTTGAGGTTAGCAGCCCAATTTGTAGCCACTACGCTACCAGA